CCGCTGCGAGTGCGCCGTCAGGAGCGGGGTACCGCGTTTGGCGAGCTGCACGTAGGCCTTCAGGAAGTCCGCACTGACGATGGACTCGCCGGTGCTGTCAGTGGTCATGCGGAGGTCCAAAAAGCCGGGGCCGCCGGGGTCCGTCCGCATATCGTGCTCGAGGTTGGCGTGCGGGCCCGAATGCCCCCCTCCGGCGCGCGACCACAGGCTCTCGACGTTGTCCACCACCGTCTTTACGACGGCGGAGTCGAACCCCACCGGTTGCGATGTCATGTGGTTGCGCAGGATGTGATAGCCAATCCGGCGGTTATGCTCCGAGGAGTGGTTGTCCAGAATAATAAAGGTCAAGTCAAAGCGCGACAGCAAAGACTCCGGCAGCCCAACGTTAAAGGCCAGTTTGTGCTGAACGCTATAAAACCCATAAATAGGGTTCGCCGCGGCGAGAACGCTGCATCGGGCGTTTAGCGAGGCGTGGATGCCGGCCTTGGCGATGGTTACCGTCTGCTGCTCCATCGCCTCGTGCATCGCGACGCGATCCTGCGGGCTCATTTTGTCAAACTCGTCAATACAAAGGATCCCGCGATCGGCCAAAACCATCGCCCCCGCGGACAGCGAGCGCTCGCCGGTGTAGGCATCCACCGCGACCGCCGCCGTCAACCCCACACCCGAGGAGCCTTTTCCGGTCGTACTCAACGCAAGCGGTGCGGCGCCCAAGACAAACCGTAGGAGCTGCGATTTCGCCGTCGAGGGCTCACCGACGAGGAGGATGTTGATATCCCCGCGGATGTGCGAGTCGTGCGCGTGCCGCTCGACGCCGCCGATCATCATGAGCAAAATCGCGCGCTTCTCCGCGTGCATGCCGTAGATCGTCGGGGCCACGGCGCGGGCAAGGATCTTCAGGGCCGCGGCGGGCCCCTCCGTCCCCGCCCACTTCCGCGCGGTCCGCACGAGCGTTTCCTCGAGCCCGGCGACGTGGCGAAGGCCGTTGACGAGGGCCCCTCGTGGCGAAATGTGGTTCACCAACACAATCGCGTGAAAGCCTTTTTCCTCCGCCGTGGTGTAGGCGAGGTAGACCCCGACCACGACCACCCGATCCCCCGGCTTCGCCGCGTCGACGAGGTCGTCGTCGAGGCGGAGCTCGACGTTTCGCGGGAGCTGCCCGGTCGGGGCCCGCTCCGGGACCTCCTGCAGTACTGCGCACTGGGAGTCCATAAAGGTGGAGAGCCCGAGCTCCGTACGCAGCGGGCGGCCCTGCAGGTCGGTCTTGGGCATGACATTCACCGTGGGCAGGTGGGCGCCATCCAGCAGAGGGGTCAGCTGGTCGCGAAAGGCCTTCGTGGTGAACTGGTTCGTCTCCGCGCAGTAGTGCACCGTCTCCACCACCCGAGGGCGGTTGGTGGACTGCCGCGTTAAAATCCCTTCCAGCGCGACCATCGTGTTGAGCTGACGGGCGTAGAGCTCACGCGGGGAGAGGATGGGGCCGATCGGGCCCTCAAAGCCCACGTGAATCGCGCGGGAGCGGTAGTCCACCTTCAGGTACTCCGGCTGCTCGCGAACAACCACGTCGTGGACAGCAAGCTCGAGCAGCGGGAGGAAGGTCCCGGGATGCTGAAGAAGCCCCACCCCGAGCGAGAACAGCCCATCCCGCGTCTCGAGCGGGCCATTGGGGTTCGTCATGCCATCCCAGGAGGAGCTGGCGGCGCTCAGGCCAAGGGCGGGAACGTAGATGTCGAGGAAGTCACTCAGATCGACATACAGCCTGGACTTATCGGCCGCCATCATGGCATGGATGCGACGGTGATACTTCTCCGAGTGCTCGCTCTCGAAAAAGTCGATGAAGTATCTACGAATATGAGACTGCTCATCTGTGAGTTTACGATTGCTGAGCATCTGGCCTACACATTAAAATAATAATAATAATATAAAAAACTCTAGCTAGTGGTTATATAAATTTTAGTTATTTAGAATAGTCTACAGATTCTTTTCTATCTTTTTTTCTTCTTTCGTTACAGCGTTTACGTATTCCAAGAAAGCACCCTACAATCACTTCAGATTTTACTGAGGATTGAAGCTGCACAACACATGAAATTAAAAAAATGAGGAAAAAATATATATGCAAACAAATGAAAGAAGTCATGCAAACAGGAAGTAAGAGGGAGCCTTTACGCCCTCTCCTTTTTATTGTGTACTTTTTCAGTGAAGTTATTTCGTGTCAAATGATGCAGTGGCCACTTTTCGGCTTCTCTTTTGCAATATTCATGACATCAAAAAGTGTTTGACACTTTTTCTCTTCTTCTTCGCTTCCAACGTGCAGCCACGTCGTCATCAGGGTCGATAGTCTGCAAGCGTATCTCCTGGAGAAGCTTTTCAACATCCTGCAGCTTCATTTGCAAGAGCTCGGCATCGACATCCCAGTCACTCACAACTTCTCGCTCCATCTGTTTAAATGGGGTTTCTAGGGAGCTGGTAAGCTCTGCATGAATACGCTGCATTGTTTCCTCACGCTCAACAATATCGCGGCGCTTGGCATCCTCTGATGCTGCTCTCTGATTCTCTTTTTGTTTGAGAATAAACTCTGCCCACTTCGCATCCTTTTCCGCCTGGCGTTTTCTATGCAATTCCTCAACGCTGTTTGCACCCCCTGCTGTTGGTTCCTCAGCTTTACGTAGAGAAGCATCATAGGCCGAGCGCTTTTCCGAGTCAATAAGAGTATCCAAGGCAATTTTAACCCGCTCAAAGGCCTCACGCGCCTCCGGAGAGGGGTCCTTGTCGGGGTGAAATAACAAAGAATAGCGTCGGTACGCACGCTGAAGCGCCTGGGCGTCGATAAATATTCCTGAGGTTGATGAAGACGATGAGGTTGAACTCGTTGATACCGGAGAGGGAAGGTGGAATATTTCGTAGTAATTTAGAGATTGGATCGTATCCTTCGTGATGCGCACCGTAGAAGTTGCGCCCTCGACTTTACCGTTTTCTCTGCTCTGAGATTGAAACATGTTAATTAATATAATCTGAGAGCCTGGCAAATAAAGCAAGTATTCAATTTATAAACTGTTATAATTTCTTGAAATTTGGACTTTTTGGGTTTCCGGCCCTTTTATTATCCACTACCTGTTAAAGTTTCCCTTACTCTTTGTGCGACCGCGACAAAAGCAAAAAAAAAATCATATATAGAAATGAAGAGAGGAAAAGGGATAGAAAAAGAACAAGATATATTTTAACAATAAACTTATCGATTTCATCTTTGTTAATAAATCATCATTCATATTTTACTTTCAGTATCCACCTTGAATAGCAAGCCAGTAAAGAAAAGAATCTTATCGCAGTGTCCCCAACGCCTCTAGCTCGAGCCCGACGGCTCCTGCTCAGGCACAATATTGAGACAAGAATAGATATGTACATGCACAAGAAATAAGATAGTGTAAAGGTCCTTTATTGATTGGTTCTTATGCAAATTTATCCATTTTATTACTGATCCTTCCGTCGTGCTCCATAATGTCGATGTCCATAAGAGGAAAATACTTCAATTCCACTTTTGTATACAATGATTAAAAAAATTTCGAAAAAGAAGCAATGAAGAAAACTTTTTAATGAGAAATCTTGGGCAAAATAATTATAGTAATACAAAACGTCGAAAATTGCACAGGAACTCTCGTCTTCAAAAGAGTTGAAAGTCATCCTCCTCGATACGCTCACCGACATAAGGGGTGAACACGAAGTCCTCCAACATCTCCGCCTTGCTCGCGGGGAGCATGGGCAAAGGTGGAAACAACGCCAAGGAAGGGCTCGGAGAGGGCCCTAGAGCGCGGCTCTCGATACTTCCATTCATCCCTTGAGACCTCCCATTCAGGCGGCGAAATTTATTCGCCCGAGGGCGCACCTCATTCTCGTTCTCACTCTCACTGCTGCTGCTAGTCCACCCATCGTTCCCAGTGTTGAGCGGCGCGCGGCGATCCTGGCGAGACCGCTTGCCCCACAACGCAGAGCAAAAAAGATCCACATCACCACACGGAGGCGGCAAAGTCCCAGAAGAGGGAACCCCATCCCGAGCGGATCGCCCGCTTGCTCGCCGCCGCCGCGCCACGCCGGGCCTCGCTCCTCCCCCTAATGGTAAAGGAATCACCCCCTCCACGCACACCATATCGTCCGCGTCGTCCCCTGCTTTTCGTCGTGGGTCGCGTTCGTTTGGTTTCAGCGCGCGGTCGAGAAGCCGCTCCCCCTCCAGCTCCGCCACCTTCTGCAGCTCACGGCAGTACCGCTCGGGGCGATCGGACGGTGGGCGCCGTCGTTGGACGGCGGGACGGCCCGCAGTGGCCCCCGGGCTGCTGCGGTGAAGGGCGCCGTGCGGCGCACGGGGCCGGTTCTGCGGCGGCGCGGCGTGGGCCGGGAGGCCGCCGCAGCCGAGAAATTGCACAAAAGAGGGGGTCCCCAGGCCGGAAGAGGGGCCCGCCGATGCGCCCCCCCACGGCGCCGACTCCTGCGCCACGCACTGATGAATGGGCGAGATGAAGAAGGCGGAGGGATCCGGCGGCTTTGCGGGATCACCCACAGCATCCTCCACAAAGGGAAGGAAAGAGGAACCGAGGAACGAGGCGCCCTCATGGGCGTCCTGCTGTGGAGGGCTAGACGCTATACCGCCTCTCCACGGCTTTGGTTTTTTGCTCCGGTGGTGAGGTCGATTCGGTGCATCGCGTGGATTCGTGTGATCAGATCCTAGGCTTGAATATTCCCCATCAAGTGCGTCTTCTTTTTTATTATCTTCTTCTTCCGAGTCGTAATCGGGTAAATGATGACGCTGCTGGCGCGCCCGCGCAACGAGCACCCCCACCATTTCGCTGAAGGAACGATCACGTTTGATATCGCTAGCCGATGGATTGCCATCCCTATTTCTTGTAGTCGAGAACACCCGCTGCCACTTCTTCTCCTCGCTAATCTTTTTCTTATTGAGCTTTTTATTTCGTTTGGGAAGCATTCTTTCTCTTAAATCCCCCTCAGCATCACCCCAGATGGTTGAGGGACCGCTTTCCGACAGGGTAGTTTGGGATAGGTGGGAAGCGCCCATGGGGGCCGCGAATCCGCCCGCTAAACGAAGCTCCAGCGCTCGGATGAATGCGCCCCCGAAAGTCGATTTAGGGATCGAAAAAGGCGCACCCGACGGGCGGACGTCATTCCCTCCTCTTCCATCTTTCAAATCCCCCACCGGCTCGCCGTCTTCGTCCACGACATAACGAAAAGACCTTCGCCCCCGGCCCCGAAGAGTCCCCACCTCGCCATAGGAAAGAGGAGGGGAGAGGTCCCGTGGGTTGTGCCCGCGCAAACGTCTTTGCCGCGAAAGGCGACTGCCTCGCCGGGTGGGGGTTGCGAAGCTGCTTTTCCGGCTCAAACTCCGACTGCTTGTACTCCCCCCCTCACTCGGCGGGGCCGAGGGAAAGGAATCGACGTCGTTGAAGAGGTCCCAATCCCCGGCAGTCTCCATGAATGTCCCGGAAGAGGTGAAAAAAGGAGCCACACCCCCTCGTTCTGTGAAGTCATTCCCCCTCGTATCTCTCGCGTTGAGGTTGAGTACAATGGTGGTTTGGGCGCCGTCCGTGTCGGATTCGTCGATCACCCAATGAAATGAGGATGGCATCAATCCTTTACGGCGCCCAGTAAATAATAATAATGACACTAATAATTATTATTATTAAACACCGCTTTCCCGTCACCACAGATTCAACAAGCAAAAGCTTAGATCACTAGGTAAGTGGGCACACAGAAAAAAAAGGAGAAGATGAAAATGCTTACTTTTTTATAATTACATATATACGCCTTAGTGTTTTTATTTTGTTTTCTACTGATACCGTTTGAGGTATCTATTTAAAATTAGAAGAGAAGATAAAAGTAAAACGCTAGGTGAGGGACTGTTCAGCCTTGAGGTAAGCCGTCCCTTCGCCTTGCCAGACTCCTTCTCTAAATTTATATATTAAAAAGCACAGAAAATCTACTTTATATAGTTGCCTTTTGCCTTTTATTCTGTATGGAGGCCATAAAATTATGAATATCACTAAGCAATAATAATTAAAAAGAAGGTTCAGATATTGAGGGATTTTGATAAAGAATAAATGTTGCAGTCATGATTATTCAGAGATAATAGAACCAAAGAAAGATGATATTAAAGAAATAAAAATACCGGAAAGGTAAGAAGTCTCTATTTATTTATTTCCCTCTACAGGAGACAATAGAATAAATATCTTCTTTCTTAGTAGTTGTTGCTCAACATTTGTAATGCATCCAATATCTTGAGGATAAAGGAGGTGCTTTCCACCCTCCTTTTCTCGGTAAAACCCTTAAAAAAAACATTTTCTCAAGGGAAATTTCCACCTCAACTATGAGGTACAGTCAAAATGATAGGAGCAATAAAAAAATAATAAGAGTTCAATAATATGCACATGAAATGTTGGAAAACAAAATCCTTTATTTCGTGCGTATATTCAGTGAATATATGATACGATGTAGTATTTCGAGGACTTCTCTTCGGTCGTCGTAATGCAAGCATTAGTCCCTCTCGCAAAGACACACTCACACAGACACTTGCACAAAAAATTGGAATACTAATAACACAACTTTTCTTCGTTTAGTCGTTCTACAAATTGAGCAGTCGCTGTTTTTTCTAGAAGAACTCAATGAAATTTTTGGAAATTGCTTTTTGAAACCCCCTGCACAGCAGAGATCCGCCAAAAGCGGTTTTTAAACCCTTTCCAGTTGATAATAATTCTACTAGTTATGGGGATAGCTAATAGAGGGGTGAATAGACATGCAAGGTGCAGTGAACTTTCAAGGGAATTCCTATACTACACTGGGAGCTCAGCAGACCTCTCCACATTGCTTGTAGAAACACCCTTGCTACCCAGATTCTTACTATCATGATTCACTTTTTCAAATTCCTTTTTCTCTATTTGCGCAGAAACTCTTTTCGACGAATCAAACTCGCTTTCTTTTAAAAGAAATTGGACCCAGAGCTCCGCTAAACTGGTCCGATCTTGGCGGTGTTCGTTAGCCGATCCACCCTCTCCGCATTCACCATCTTCATGATTAGTATTATTAGCGCGGTTGTAGGCAGCATCTTTCCTCCAGATTCGTGATAAAATACCTTTTCGATCCCCCATCTGCCGCGGGTTCATCGGCCCTGGTAACAATCCGATCCGCTCCTGCATCTCCTCATTCCAGCCCAGCAAGCTGCTCAGCAACTTCAGCATCTCATCAGCCTCCCGTCTTCGTCCTATAAAAGCATGCACAAAGTTCACCAGAATATGTGAAACCACTCCCTTATCGATAGTAGTCTCCCCGTTCAGCTGCTTTGCAGTCCTCTCCAAGGTCGCCCGCATCTCCGCGAGTTTGCCGTGGAGAGCGCTGACTTCAAGGCTCTTCGCGGCCAGCTCCTCACGGTGTCGCGCGCGAAGCTGCTCCCGCGCGGCGTCGTGGTCTTTCTGGATCTGTTCATAATGCCCCAGCTCCTCTTTGAGGTGCTCAATCTCGGCGGAAAGGAGCAGCGTGTGCGCCTCGACTTCGCGTGTTTGGGACTCCCGCAGAGTATCGATGACGGCCTGAAGATTACCCAACCCGCGCTGGGCCCTCCCCAGCTCCTCCTCGCGCTCTTGCAGGGCAAGCTGCAGCCGCTCGACCGTGTTTTCCAGCAAAAGAAGCCGTCCCTGCTGCCCCTCCTCCCCCCTCGCGCGGGCCTCGAGCTGCAAGGCCCATCCCTCCCCCGCCTCCCGCGCGGCGTGGAGCTCGTTCACCAGGCTAGGGATCCGCTCTTCCTCGGCCTCCCGGAGGCGATCCTGGGCGGTCTGGAGGTCCTCCCGGAGCTGGGCGAGTTCCCGCGTGTGAAGGGAGCCGGCCTCGCGGAGCTGCCCGATCAGCCCCCAGGCCTCCTGGTGTTGATGGCGCAGCGTGTCATTGACCTCGCGGGCCCGGGCGTAGGC